GGATGCACCAACACCATACCGGGATGAACCCCATGCTGAACCTGAAAAATGGGTAAGTTAATAAACATGCCAACTCAAATAGGATGATGTGATACAGTACCTTAAATTCTTTTTGCCTGTAGCTACCACCAGGACGATCACAAGATCAAAACCCCCCATGTTTTCACCAAATTCATCTACTAAATACTGATAATAATTTAATTGTAACAGTGATAACAATATATATATTCTGATGCTGAAGCTAATGATGCTGCTGATGCTGCTGACTTGGGCCCATGTTTTTTTCTTTCAATTTCACAAACCCAATTATTACGATGTGCCTTTTTCCTTGCGAAGCCTACGACTCACGCAAGGGTGGTCAGACACACCATCCTAAAAAGAAATGGAAAGAAAAAACCATGAGCACAAACCAACAATTCCGGTCAAAAACAAAAAGATAATGGAAAAACACAAAAACAATCAAACAATGAAGAAGTGACAGAACCGTTAAGTCATCAAGAAATAATAGACAATCTTAATGATACATTCCCTTCTTTTCAAATCTTAGTTGAAAAAATGAAAACTTTAAAACCCTAACAACCTCAACAAATCCTGACCCAATCAATGATACTCCCCTAAAATAATCAACAAGGTTAGGATGAAACGTTTTTACCAAAAATGTCTTACAACATACATCACAAAAAACATCAACACCAAGGAACGCACGTTCCCCTTTAACATAAAAACCATAACAGGCAACAATGCGTGTAAAACTATCCCAGGAACATCCTTTCCCCATTTTTTTTTGGGGGGGGGGTGCAGGCCTGTACCATATATACGTTCTGACGGCTTGCCAATTCTTCCGGGGTCGGCGGCAGGGGCGGCAGCCCTTAAATAATTAGTTGATATTAGTTGGGAGATTCACAGATACGTCAATTTCATTCAATTTCATTCAATTTCTCTGAGCCCCTGATCAAAAGCAGAACCAAATCCTCAGGGCGAGTCCGTCATATTCCGAGCGAGCCGTGATAGCAGTGGTACATAATAAATCACGCAAGCGATCATTGTAGACCTGGACAAAA